ATATTAAATGTTTCTTATAAACAGCATTAAGTTTTCATGGAGAAGAATATGCAATTTATACGAACAATTCATTATACTTTACAAACTGCGTAACATACAAATATTATGTGAAATACATAATAATTACGAATCACTTATTTATATATATAAGTCGTAAGAAATGTACTAGAATTTTTTACACCTCTTGTAAATTTAAAACATCGTTACATTTCCACTTAGGCGTATCGCGAAACGATGATAATCTCAATTAATTGTATCCTACGCGTATTTTATTTTATTTCGTGTTCGATTCGAGCAATCGACAGAAGACCCGATTCCCAAGCGTAAATAAGTATGAAAATTGAAAGCGGCTTTACGCTGAGCTATCGGCCAGGATTGAGACAAATCTACTGTGACGAGTCGGTCGATCAGCCTGGGGCACGAATTCAGCATCGTACTCGAATGAACACCTACCTTCTAGTACTGTTATGTTCTACCATGGAATCTTCAGTAGATAGGTGTTCTCATCATTTTATGCACAATATAATAATCTGAACGGCGTGTAAGAAAAACAGTCGAACATTCATCGAATCGTACTTGACCCTATCCGACCGTGAGAAACGTAGAAAGCAAGTTTCCTAATAGACATAGATTTCGGGAACCAGTACTACGGTATCATAAGATGTCTCGCCAGGTTCAGCCGCGTTTTATTAAATAAAACAGTATTTTTCGAGGAAACACTGAATGCTCTGGAGATGTTTTACAACACGATAATGACACGGTTTTCCGGTGAGCTCGATCTCGCGCGGAGATTCATTATACACAGAGTTCCGAAGTCGGAACAGATCGATTAACGCGTCAATTTGCATTTAAGCGTAACTAACTTAATGCGGTCTGCAGATGCATACATGCAAAGTAAGCTGTGCCTTACAAATGATGGCTCGAACCGAGGACCATTTGTTATCCACCGTGCCCCGAACAAATTTCTGTTTTGCATAATGGTATAGATAGTGCATAGAGGCCTTTCTACCGCTAGCTTCAAACTATAGCACCATTTTACGAACTATTCTGATATAAATAGACATTTTTAGGAATTATCGAATGAATTAAATTTATTATAATTGCCCCGGGTGTTCGTAGATGATTTCTACTGTGAATACAATTTATTCTTATGATAAATAGTACGTTGGTACAGGAGGCGAAATGACGGAAAGCATTGAACCTTAAATTAAGACGGTGGCCGACGGAACAACGAGGTGTCGATAATGAATCTCAACGTTAATTAGAGCCCGAAGGTGAGACGATAGGTAGCTGGTCGTGGCATACCGATATCTTCTTCTTAGTCTTGCGCACACGTCGCAAAGCAAAGCCTAACTGAAACGTCACGCCACTTGTTACTCGTTAGTGTGCACGATGCCATCTTTACTGCTGGCCATTCGACCAGGTCACTCCTACGGTAGCCACATCGATACCGGCGCGGCCGTGTAATTAACAATGTTCCCCGCTTTTGTCCGGCCTTGATCAACCCGAGTTCCTTAGACAGATTTTGGCGAAGATCGTTTCGAATCGATGCACGCACATAGTAGGTGTGCCAATTTCTACTCAATGGCATTTTATTTTACTCTCCTGAACTTACGACCTATTAAAGGTCCCAGGATTTAAAGAGTTTAATATGTAGACTGAATACTATTAATTTTAAAACTATAAAAAAATACACCAATGATTAGAAATTCTGACGTGAACAAAAATTAGAGTATTTGCGATTAATGAACGTTAACATCAATTAAATGGGTTGTGAAATTGCAAGATTCCTCAAGTCCCTTCGTGTAACTTCATGTTTATCCAGATTTGAGGAAGACATGAGGAAGATAGTGATTTCTGAAAGAACTCTATACTCTTTCGGGTTAGATGGAATTAAAGAGGACGCGAGTTAGAAGAATCTCGCTTAACGTTAGATCGCATCGGATGGGGTTAGTTCGCCCAGAAGGGCAAGGATGCTTGCTCCAATCTCGAAGGTATCTTTCGAGCGTCGACAGAGAGTGCTTCCATTACGCTGGGCGGTGGTCCCTCGTTATATCCGGGACAGGCGAGTCTGTGGTTGCTCATCTGATAGTCCGAGGATTTATGGCGGCCCTGATGGTTCATTTAGCGCTGACATGACTCGACAGGGGCGGGTCGAAACGGTTTTACGCGCGTTGTGTGCGTGCGCTAACGCGACAATACGGAAATATCTTGTTAAAAACAGGTTGAGTAACGCTATAGATTGGCCCGATTTAACTGCATACGCATCGTCCGTCAAGTGCATCAATTGGGAAATAAGCCTGAACTGCGCCTCGAAAAAGTTTTATTAAATAGTTGCCGTTCGTTAATCGCAAAGGCGAGTGACACGACGCTCGTTTTCAGTCTACATGATATCGACCAACATTTATTAATTACAGTGCAATAAAAGAAAAACTCTTTTGCAATGTCCGAGACATTTCCAATGAAGAAATCATGTATAGAAACATGTAACATTTTCATTTTCCCAAAATCATGCAGTTTTACAAAAACTGCTATTAACGTTGCATGATAGAACGTTTCTGCGGATTTGTTTCATCAGAAACTTTGAATATCGTAAAAAATTTTTGTATTACAAGAAAAGCAAGCTTCTAGATATTTGCCTTATTTAAATTGTGGATAAAGAGAAGATTATAAAATTGAAGAGCGTTGTAAAATTGATATTGAAGAGGACGCACAGTTTCGTCCATCAATGTGTATTTTCTTCCACGTCATCGTACTGATTCATACACGCTCTTAGCGCGGAGCCTCCCAAGAAGTTTTGCAATATTGTCTTGGACATACCATAAAAGCTACACATCGTTGATTTTCCATTTCTCCCGTACACTTAACTCCTCTGCACGCCGCTTCAATGTCGAAACACTCGTCTGGACGGACGCGAGCGTAAATTACCCGCGGCGAGGAATATAAAACTCGCGTCTCGATCCCGTTCCACTATAACACCGCGAGATTCATACGCGATAAACGCGAAACTGGCGTAAACCGCTCTCAATCCATTAACAACATAATAATAAACAAACACGAGGGTTACTAATAAAACCAAACAATTGATCCCTGATAATCGTCGACTATATCCATTCCTTCTAACAAGACTGGCTTTCGACATTGTTAATAATTGAATTTGACGAACTGCGATATAAACCCAGAGGCGTGCAATCGGTGATAGTAAATGACCAATAAAGTATAATTCATGTATCGTTTGCGATATTGACAGGACTTTTATATTCGTTTCACAAGCAGAAATCCCGAGCGTTGCGTTCCCCTTCTAATGAGCTTTTGTGCGGTAATAGAGTTCGAAATACCGAAGGTAACGATTATGAGTTGAGAGTTAGTAATAGATTACGAGTTATTTTAATTAGCGTCTAAGGCGTGCGAGCTATCTTTTACCACGTATTTCATGCGCA